TTGCAAGACCAATCTTTTCTGTAACATCTTGAAAGCCACCTGTTGATACTTGCAGATATTGTTTCAGTTTGGCATGAACACCTTCAGCCCTTGATGATGACCGATTACCAAAATGCAAATATTTTTCTGTCCAGGCACTAACAAACTTTTCCTTCCAAGGCAACCATGTATTTTTTATGTACTCAATTGCAACTTTCTTCGTCTAATAAAACAACTCAAATTCGGCCCAATGTTGCTCAAAAATAGTTGTAGTTGTTGAATATGCTACATTATTCCAATATGACATAAATAGATCAAATTCTTCTCCATGTGCAAAATGCTTTTTGGAATATGCCAGCACATTCTTTTCAATATGCCAAATACACAAAAGGTTTGTCGTGTTCGGAAATACCGTATTTATGGCATTCATTAATGCTAACTCTCTGTCAGACATAATCACAGATGGTTCACGGTTTTCAAGAGTCTTCTTAAACACACTTAATGCCCAAATATAACTATCTTCATCCTCTCTCTCCAGAAAGACAAACCCAGAATAAAAAGATGTACTAAAACATGAAACCCCAATGATATCAAGTAGAGGCATGTTATATTTGTTTGTTTTGTATGTGCAATCCATTACAAAGATATTAGAGAAAGCTTTTGACAATTTAACTGACAAAGGATGTGCAATGAACAAATGGGTTATATGCCCTACTGAGTTGTGTAAAATATCATATATAAAACCCTCTTTCTCAAACTCTTCAAATAAAGCACTAACCGTTGATCGATTTCCCAAGTTTTGCTTGCGGATTTTAGCCTTCAGATTGTATATAGTTCGTGAGACTGCTGGAAGGTTTGAGTTTTGTTGATGCAAAGAAGAAAGAATTTGCCTTGAGGGTATGCCAGAAAGCGTCATGTTTTTGACACTTTGTACATCATTTGGTGATAATCGACGAAATGATGGATGCCCAGAGATATCAGTAGACGGTTCATGGTTGTGAGTCAAGTTTTTTGCCTTAAGTACCCAAAAACCATCATTTCCTTTTTTACCTACAATCTGGAAGGGGCAGTTGATCAAACGAGATCCAGTATTTTTCTTCCTTTTATCTCCGATACACATTCTATCTCGATAGGAACCGCCTCTATCACATTGCAACGTGACATATTTATCTTTACGTGAGTCTTTTATAGATACTACATATCCTTTAGCATAATAAAAATCTCTTAAACTCTTCAGTAATTCATCATACGATTCAAATTTGGAGTTAGCTAAATAGAGTTCTTCATTTTTGTACCGAAGAACTTGATGAATCCATTCCCTATGTTGAATCAATTTTTACACAATCAAACATCACATTAAAGTTTAACATTTTGAATGAATATGTTAACAAAATGAAAATCACTTTTAACGCATTTTGAATCATAATCAATTCGTGTTTCAGTTTTAAATCATAAGCAATTCAAGTTTAACATAATCATAACCAATTCAAGTTTTCATATGGTGTTAAAATAATCAAAAAGTCTAAAATACAACTACACAAAACAGTTGTTTAATGCCCTTTTCATGTAAAAAAAAGTCAAAGTATTGCTCATTTTTTCATCTAACCTTTAAATTAAAAAAAAAAAGAAAAAAAAAACATAACAGAAGAACTTAATATCACTAGTAGAAAAAATTTGTGCCTTCGTCTTTCCATGTATTTGATATTGTTAAGACAATTAATTAAAAAAGGCTTTTGTTCAAGAAAAACAATCCTATACAAAATTTAATATATGCTTGCTTCTTACATGATTCGAAACTAACATCGCCATTGAAAAGCATGTAATTATTCAAACTAAAAGCACATGTGGTCACTATAACTTTTCTTATTCTTATTTATTTATTTTTTTTTTTGTGATTTGAAGACGTAATAATTTTTCTAACTAAATCAAGGAGATATCAATCAACTATTCACATCTTATTTTGTTATCTGTAAATTTTTTTGTGTCTAACAGTAATGATTTTCAAGCTTACCGATTGAAGATGAACGGAAGGCTGGAGAAGATCGTCGTACGACTGTTGATTTCCAAGGCGACGTGTGAGTTTTTTTTTTGAAACAAAAACTGGTATTTAGGTTAAGGATTTGTATTCACGTAAAAATAGATAAGATCCTATATTATCAGCTCTTATATTAATTATCCATATATTATTTAAATGAATTAAATGAATTGAGGGGTAAAATAGTCCATATATTAATTATTACTTGGAAATATTAAATAATTCCTTGGAAAAATCACCTCCCAAATTGAAACCGTGACTTTCAAACATGGGAAATCTTCAGAAAAGTCCCAATATTTACAGAAAAGTTACACTTTAGTCCTAAGATTTTTTTTTTGAATAAAAAAGTCCTGAAAACCGGCAAAAATTTACAGTTTGACCCTTTTTGACCGGCTGAAACCGGTACCAAATTAATTTGGGACTGTTTCGTAAACTAACCCAAAATATTGAGATTTTTCTGTGAAAAAAAAATATTAGGACTTTTCTGTAAACAAAAATACTAGGACTTTTCTACAAACAAAACTCTTATTATTATTAAAAATATAAATAAGTATTAGGTGAACGTCGACGTAGCAGATCAATTGATAGTTGTAGGAGGGATACAATGGGAAAACGAAAATTCATTCTTTTCTTCAATGGTGTTGTGCATCTTGCTCTGCATATTTTTTTTAAGTAGTAAAACAAAAATGAAATCCAAATTAAACTAGTTCTATTTTGAGTGAAAAAAATTGAAATGTATTTTAAATTCGGAGTCTCGTTCACGGAGGTTTTGATTGCAGGCATGTGGATTAATGAAGGTAATTAACTTCAATTCAATATAAAATATTACTTTTCTACATTATTTTTTATATTAATTTACTATTTCATGCAAATAATATGTTTGTTGATTTGCTGGATTTAAAATATATGGTGCTTTCAATGTATTGTAATGACTCATTCAACATATGTTTATCACTTTTGCGAAGGGTTCATTCATTCTATTGTTCATTCTTAATGTTTATTAATTTGAAATATTGTGATTAAGTAGACAATAATTGGTTCATTTTGACATATTTTCTGTTTTAATAATGAAGTTCATCTTGAGTTGTGAGTTATAGTTGTCCCTTGGTTTTGATTCAAAATTGGCTAGTAATGCATACTAAGTGTTCGATCATTGGCTAGTAATGCATACAAATTTTCGTTTTCCCATTGTATCCCTCCTACAACTATCAACTGATCTGCTACGTCGACGTTCACCTAATACTTATTTATATTTTTAATAATAATAATAATAATAATAATAATAATAAGAGTTTTGTTTGTAGAAAAATCATAATATTTTTGTTTACAGAAAAATCCTAATATTTTTTGTTCACAGAAAAATCTCAATATTTTGGGTTAGTTTACGAAATAGTCTCAAATTAATTTGGTACCGGTTTCAGCCGGTCAAAAAGGGTTAAACTGTAAAGTTTTGCCGGTTTTCAGGACTTTTTTATTCAAAAAAAAAATCTTAGGACTAAAGTGTATCTGTAAATATTGGGACTTTTCTAAAGATTTCCCTAAATATAAAATACTATTTAAAATTTGAATTTCGCTTAAGACATTTAGTACCTAAGAGGCTACAATGTTTTTATATCGATATTTAAATAATTATATATTTAACAAACTTAATTTTTATTGTTAATAATACATAATGAGAATTATATTTTAATAAATATATAATTATTTTTGTCTTCCCAGTTTATGTAGATGATCAACACACACTCTGGATCAATTTTTTAAAGTAAAAATGAAATTAAAGTAAGTTTTTAACTTGCAAAATAATTTGAACTTTCCATTGAATGAATATTCTTGTGTTGACCTGGTTAGTTTAGTCCCTACTGGTACTTCTTCCGTTTCTTGTTTCTTCACTTTCATCTCAAGACCCTCGTAATTCTCTTCAATAAATCCCCAAAAATGGCGTCAATTCAAACAGCAAGTTGATCATGTGAAATACTTATCTTCGTTGCATTTCTCCCACAGTTCTATGTTAATTGGTTATCAGGTAAGCTAATTTTACAATTCTTTCCATATCTTTGATGCTGCTGTTGACTTCAGCTTGCTCCAAGTCTTCTTCCTCCCTATTTCGTTGCTAATTCCTTTTTTTAGTTTTATAATCAGAAGATGAACCGTCTCGTTAGCTTTGCCATATAATATAGTTGATCTATGTTTAGCAGTCAAGCTCCATTTCGGTTATTAGCCTAAGAAGAATCAAAAGTCCAAATGCCTAAAAATTGAATTTCTCAGTTCTCACCACATGTAGAAGGTCACCTCTTGTGTTTGACATTAAAAATTATGCTGTTTCAGAGCAATTAGAGAATCGCGGAAACATTAGAATTCGATTGGAGTTTATAGCCGTCCGGCAGTTTCGCTCACACAGGTGCTTGAATGCGCAGATTTGCTTGTCGACTCTGGTGTAAACACATGAGAACAAGGTGAAACCCTAGTAACACAGAAGAAGGACATCTTTAAATAGAAGATTTTGTTGTGAATACATGTTCGCAAACATAAAATTGGTACGCTATGAGACCCCTATCTTCTATAATTAGCATCCATTCTTCAAGTTATTAAACATTTATGATGAAATATACCATAATTGATAGGCTGTATATGTCATTTTATACCTAAAGAAGGAATCATCTATGTTGATAGGCTGTATATGTCATAATTGGAGAGCATTTTAGGTGATACATTCTGTAAAAGTTCATATGCAAATCATTAGGATATTATCAACAACAAGAAGCTATAGGGCAAGCTAAAAATTGGACTTATAATTGGACCAAAATTAAGTTTGACAAATTCAACTCTTACTGTGGACCAAAGGGAGTAATGAAATATGTTGTATTGACCAAATTTTTTTCCCTCAGGTTCTTGTCCTTATCTTCTGAGAGAATGATATGATGGAATTAAGTTGAGTCAAACATGATCCTGATCATATCAAGTGGTAGCATTTATTTATGATAACACAATGGCATTGGAGGCAATGGCAGCTACAGAGTGCATCTCTCATACTGTAGAATTAGTCATGGAAGTAGTCTCTGAAGTCAACAATGTCTTTGTTGAGAAGGAATGTTTTTCAGAACTTGCTTCATATTTGAATAGACTTGTTCCTCTCCTAAAAGAATTAAACAAAAAAGACATCAGCAATTCCGAGAAAGTTTTTGTTGAGATCCTGAATCAACAAGTCAGAGTAGCTAAACAACTCACAACTGAATGCAGCAAAAAGAGCAAAGTCTACCTCTTAATAAGTTGCAGATCAATTACAAAACGCATACAAGACATTACAAGGGAAATCAGCAAGGCGTTAAATCTAATCCCTTTTTCACAGCTGGAAATTTCATCAAGCATGATGCAAGAACTTGGTCAACCTCTGTGAAAGCATGCAATCTGCAGAGTTCAAAACAGCCATAGCAGATGAAATGATTCTTGAAAAAATCGAGTCAGGAATACAAGAAAGAAACGTGGATCGTTCATATGCCAACAATTTACTTGTTTCCATCGCACAGATTTTAGGGATTTCAACAGAAAGATCAACATTAAAGAAGGAATTTGAAGATTTCAAGAATGAGATAGAAAACGCACAACTGAGAAAAGATCAAGCTGAAGCCATTCAAATGGATCAGATAATTGCATTGTTGGAAAGAGCAGATGCCACATGTTCTGATGAAGAAAAAGCAAGAAAGTATTTGACTAAACGTTCTTCATTGGGCAATCAACCTTTAGAGCCTCTCCAATCATTTTATTGCCCAATTACAAGAGAAGTTATGGTGGACCCTGTGGAAACTTCTTCAGGTCACACATTTGAAAGATCAGCCATTGAAAAATGGCTTTCTGATGGAAGTACTTCATGTCCTCTTACCATGATCCCTTTGGATAATCTTTACATTACGCCCTAATAGAACTTTAAAACAATCAATTGAGGAATGGAAAGATAGGAACACCATGATCACAATTGCTTCAATCAAATCAAAACTTGTAAAACCTTTATCAGAAAACGAAGAAGAAGAAGTGATTTCTTGCCTTGAACAGATTCAAAACTTATGTGAAGAACGAGAAATTCACCGGGAATGGATAGTGCTGGAGAATTACATTCCTACCCTTGTGGAGCTTCTTAGTGGTAAAAACCGAGAGATTAGAACTCGTACCCTTGTCTTGCTTTCCATTTTGGCAAAGGATAGTGATGATGCAAAGGTATTAATTATTACTATTTATTTATTACTAAACTTCTACTTGTATTTTTATGTTTTTTTTTTCTTTTGTTAATTCTCATACTCAGTTTGTTGTAGGATAGGATTTCAAGGGTGAATGGTGTGATTGAATCTATAGTTCGTTCACTTGGGCGTAGAATTGCTGAAGGAAAGTTAGCAGTTGAATTGCTTTTGGAATTATCAAGAAATGAAGGTTTAAGAAATAGAATTGGAAATGTTCAGGGATGCATTCTACTTTTGGTCACCATGTCCAACAGTGAAGACACTCAAGCTGCCATTAACGCACACAAGCTTTTGGATTCTCTTTCTTCCTCTGATCAAAATGTCATCCAAATGGCAAAAGCTAATTACTTTACACATCTCCTTCATCGACTATCTTCAGGTATTAATTTATACAAACCCTTTTATTACAATATCTTCAGTATCATTGAGACTTTTTTTTTTTTCACAGGTTCTGAAGAAGTGAAGATGAGCATGGTGACAACATTAGCAGAAATGGAATTCACAGATCACAGCAAATCATCTTTATTTGAAAAAGGTGCACTGGGCCCACTTCTTGACTTAGTCTCACATGGAAACCCTAGAATGAAAGAGACAGCAGCTAAAGCACTTTGTAACCTCTCAACCTTAAAAAGAAACAGCACCCAAATGATCACACAAGGTTCTGTAAAACCATTGGTCAATCTTCTCTACAATCACACATCATCCCATTCTTTACAAGATGAAGTAGCATCAATCATCATGCATCTTGCCACATCAACCATGTCACAGAATTCCGAAAATACCCCTGTTTCTTTATTCCAGTCTGATGAAGATATCGATAGCCTTTTTGCTTTTATTCCATGTACTCGCCCTTTGGTGCAAGAACGTTTACTTCATGCTATTTACGCCATGTGCCACTCTCCCTTAGCTTCTACTGTCAAATCAAAGTTGAGACAGGTAATATATTCCTCTTGTGTCCTTTACTTCCACTTTGATGATTTATTTCATAATCTTTCAATAAATCAGGGACAAAATTTGTAAGAGAACACTTTCTGGGACAAAAATTGTAGCAATCAGCTATTATCAGGGACGAAAAATGTAATTTACTTTTTTATTTGTATATATTTTTTTCAGAATTCAGACAACGAACAAGCATTGGTGGTTTTATGTGACAATGAAAACCCGAAAGTAAGAGCAAATGCTGTGAAGTTGTTTTGTTGTTTAACAGAAGATGGTGAAGACAAAGAGATAACAGACAGAATGGGACAACAATTAATTGAGACTTTAATCAAAATAATCAAGTCTTCAAATGATATAGAAGAGATTGCTTCTGCTCTGGGCATCATTTCAAATCTCACCGAGTCAACTCAACTCACCGAGTCACTAGTCAAAGCCGAAGGACTCCCGGTGATATCCTCCCGTCTCCAAACCCAAAACGGGCCCCACAAAAAACATCTAATAGAAAACGCGGTTGGTTCCCTTTGTCATTTCACAAACCCAACAAACAAGGAATCACAAAGGAAAGTAGCGGAATCCGGTCTGATTCCATTGCTTGTCCAGTTTCTCGAGGCCGGAACCGGAGTCACGAAACGAAAGGCGTCGATTTCCCTCGCGCACCTTTCGAAAAATTCAATGGAGTTGACCCGGCCGATTCCGAAGGCGGGTCTATTCCGGTGCTTCTCGCCGCAATTGGAATCCAGGTGTCCGGTGCATCAAGGAATGTGCGAAGTGGAGGTGAATTTTTGTTTAGTGGAAGCGAATGCGGTGGCGCCGCTGGTGACGCTGTTGGGGGATTCCGATTCCGATGTTTGTGAAGCGTCTTTGGATGCGTTGTTGACTTTAATTGAAGCTGAAAGGTTAGCGTTTGGGTGTAAAGTACTGGGCGAAGCTAATGCGATACCTCAAATTATAAAATTGCTAAATAGCAACAATTCGAATTTGCAAGAAAAGGTATTGAATGAGTTAGACAGGGTTTTTAGGTTGGTGGAATTTAAGCAAAAATATGGGAATTTGGCGCATATGCCGTTGGTTGATTTGACTCAGAGGGGGAATTCTAGGACCAAATCTTTGGCTGCGAGGATACTTGGTCAGTTAAATGTGCTTCATGATCAGTCGTCTTATTTTTAGGTCACAAATTCTTTTTTGTCAATTGATTTTGTACACAGTTTCTGTATCGTATTGTATATCATATATATGTTACGAGATTTAAGTTCAAAGCTTCTAAGGTCTTGAGAGGTTTTATGCATTTATATCTATTTTTTTGTATTTGTATTGAAATTTCAACATTTTGTTCCTTTTAAGTTTGAATTATTTGTTAATAAGTTGATAGCGTTGATTTTGGGTCCAAAATAGGCCGGGTATGATTTACAGAGTGGATCATCGTGTGATGTAGAATATATTGAAAGTTTTCTACATAGTGTGAATCATAAACACTTTTGTAATATGACAATGACCACTTATAAAATGGGTTGATTGTATGATGAGAGTAGTGACAAGCAAAAGCGGGGCATAATTTGCAAATTTCTCTTATTGACATCAATCTTGTTACTAGTCTAAAGCATGTCGAATATAATCCAACATGTTTTTATCATGTCCTACATGGTTATATAGAAAACCTTGCCTTAAAAGTTAAAAGAAATCTTATGATTTGATAGTCGTTTATGTACTTCTTTCTTGCTGCTTGTGACTTCAATGTGTTGGAACCTGAAAGTGAACCTTTAGCAATCTCTAACCTTTCATGTTCCGAAGTCAGTCTTATGTTAGAAGTAGTGACATTGCCCGGTCCTTAGTATGTTTTCCGGTTTGTAATGTGTACCTCCTTTTTCTATATAAGGAGTGTTTAATGATAAGAACAGTGTGACGGATTGTTTCGCCAAAGATAGTTATATTTGAATTTATTTCACTTACATCTTTCTCTCAAATCAAACTCTTTCAAACATTCTACTTGTTCATTTATTTTCTTTACTTTGATTATACTCATTACTCCATATTTAATACTTGAAGTACTTTGTTGATTCTCATCTTCAGTCTCGACTGGTCTTGCCAGACTTGACTGGAACTTATAATCAGAAACAAACATTGATCTTAAGCATTAATTCAAGGTTTGAGTTTTTGAGCATTGTCCCTGTGCAATCAAATCCTTGTTCTCACAATTGGTATCAGAGCTTGAGTGTCATTTGAATCCATAAGAACAGATTATAGTTAATTCGAGATTACCTTGGTATTTCGATCAATTATATGTTTAGGATAAAAGTTCTTCTATATACCACTTTTGGTCAAGATATCTTAACTTCAATGCCTGCTTCTAATTCTCAACAAATGTACTCAATGCAAATAGAAAATAGCGTGGGTTGCCCTACACGTGCCCCATTGCAGTTGTTGAAGAGTATGATCACTGGAAAGTCGGAATGGAAAGATTTTTACTTGGAAAAGAAAAAGGTGAATCTATCTGGAGATCCGTTAAAGAAGGTCATCATGTTCTAGTTCGAACCATTGTTAGAGATGCTACTACAACTCTCATGGGACAGGATGAACAACTTCAAGCACCTATCACTGCTGATGATCTTGAAAAACTGCATGCATATCAAGTTGCCTTTTCCGAAATGGTGTTTGATGTTCCACCTTCTCTTTTTGAGCACATTAAACTGTGTAAATTCGCAAAAGAGATTTGGAACACACTTCAAGATTTGTTCGAAGGGCCAGAGAACATGAAGGATAAGCGTCTAACCTCGGTTGTAAATGAGTTCGACACTTTCACTACAACACCTGGTGAATTTGTTGCCTCAGCCTCAAACAGATACCGAATCGTCGTCAACAACATGGCAGCTCATGGGATAGTCCAAATTCCACTTGAATACAACCTCAAGTTCATCAACAGCCTCGGAAAGGGATGGGGAAATGTGAAATCATGTCTTTAGAGTAATGGATCTCTGAAAAAGCTGAAGCTCTACCAACTGTTTGATGAGCTTCAAGGTCATGAGTCAAATGTTACACAAACACTACGTGAACTCACTGGAGGCCCTCTAGCTCTAGTCAGTTCCTACGACCCACTAACTCAGAACCCTGTTGTTTCGGACCCTCTCTCAGCTGTTGTTCCATATATCCCTCCTGTTCAACCCTCACCTCCAACCATGCCTGTTCCCACCAATAACAACTATTAATTAGCTGGTGACCTTAATCCTGAAGATATGGACTCCGAACTCCGTTTTCAACAGGAGTTTGCCTTACTTTCCATGAAATACAATCGTCCTTATACGAAGTCATATCACAACCGTTTTCGTGCTCCTCACCAAAATAATCCTCAACCCTTCAACAAACCTTCAGAAAACCCACCATCCTACAAACCTAACCTCCCTACACCAAATCACACCTCAGAATCATCACAGACTCCGAAGTCAGAAAACCCAAGATTGTATGTCACAAATGTGGTCATGCAAATCACTTTGCCAAAGATTGCTTAGCCGAAGTCCCACAGAAACCCAAGATCAAGGACTCTGCTTACTATGC